GTCTAGTAACATGCTTCAGCCATCAGTTAGAAAGAACGAAACATACTATGATAATCAAAATTCTTACTAAGCAAAAGCACAGTCAAAGCTCGTAATCTCGTATTAAAGAGACGGGGAAAACATTTCACTCAAGGAATAAGGCGTTCGCAAACAAAGGCCCGGAACCTTGTTTCTAAGTCAAAGAAATATTATCAAAACAACAAACTGCAAATATAAACAATAGAATGATAAAACAAAGTCAAACAAAATGGAGGAAAATTAGCCTCGTTTTGATATCAGTGGGAATTCAAGTATTTTAAGACTGTAAGTAAACATAAATAAAAAAAATAAAAAATTCTGGTCCTGATCGTAACTAAAAGGTCTTGTGTTAAAGATTTAGAATAGGAAGGATATTAAAGTATAAAAATTGCTCTTTAATGTGTCATGCAGAACTTTATTCTAAATTTTGTTTCAGGCTAAGACCTATCTTTTAATTATTCCCTTGGAGTTGGACGTTTGTATAGATATTGATAGTGTTGAACAAATAAAAATGAAACCAATCTACGAGGGTAAGTAAGAAAATTATTCGCACTTTTGCCATAACGTATATTTTGGTTCTTCTGCTCATGTTTGCTTATAGTTGGTACTATTGTAATTATGTGATCGAAGTTTGAACTTGATCGCGCTGTTTTCTTGTTGCTGTTACAATGTAAACATAGCCGCTTCGCTAGCAGTGTGCACCAAGGAGGAACAAAGAGCAGTGATCCAATTTCTGTCGTTAGGCAAAACATATTGAGAATCACTGCTTTAGAATATGCAGATTTAGACTCCTTTAGTGTATCTTTTTCTCTATCTCCTAACAGCGCAATGTTTTAACAACGTTAAATATATTTGTTCCATTTATTTATATCGATTTTTTTTAATATTCTTAATTTGTTTCTATGTAGTTTCATAAATTGTCCTTCCTTTTATAATAATCTAGGGATAATGTAAATAAACGTTGAGATATGAACAAAACTGTACCCGTTTGTTGGTTTTTAATAAAATTTTTTAAATCATTTTTTGGGGTTATATTAATCTTTATCGTGTTGAAATTGTCTGTAGATGAGCTTATTTTTTTTTTAGAAAACTAAACCCTGACAACGGCACATGCCGCTACATAGACAAATACAAGCACGCATATGATTTTAGACTCTTATTTGTATAAAAAGCGATCCGTTCTTCTCCCAATTCCCTAGATAATAAACAAATCAAAAGCCTACAATAAAGATTTTTTTTAATGTGTGAGCCAAGCCATAACGAAGAAGAAATGAACTGAGGTATCATTACGAAGTAGCTGCGATGATAACTAGACAACCGCTGTATAAGGGCATCGCTAGGTTGCAAGCCATATGTCAGTCCGTAGAATGGAAATTGATAAGAATCAGACTAAATCCTGACAAGATATTCAATGGTTTGTTTGTGCAGAAAAAGTAACCTGAAAGCATTATTGAAAAAGAAAATGAAGAAAAAAATAAAACAAAATAAAACGCCAAACCTCAGATCATTGGGAATTTGAAAAGCAGCGGAAAATATAGTTTGAAATATGCGTTGAAATGCAACTTTATTACCAAACCTACCATATTTAGTATCTTGCCGCTGCTAAAGAAGTCTGACATCGACATAAAAAGAGTATTTCCCATCTCTCTCTCTACATACATACATACATATATATATATATATATATATATATATATATATATATATATATATATATATATATATAGTAAGGAAAGGAATGGGTTTTATTAATCAGACGTATTTTTATTACTTAAACGTTATTTTTAGTGGATATCCATATTTGAGTAAATTGATTTTTCGCATTATTGCGTTATTAAAATGGTTATATTTTTGATCAGGTTTGTTGATTTTCTCTCTCCCCATCCCCATAATTTGACTTTAGGCTCCGCAAAAAAAATCTCATTGTACAATAGTGTAGGGAGAAGCGGGTTCTTGCCTTTCTCAAGGGCATTAACATCGAGTGAATATAGTCTCAGCCTTTATGGCTGTAATTTTAATTTATCTGGTACACTTCTATCAACTGTTTGCTATCTTCTGAAAGAAAGACTTTGTTTACATTTTATACATGTACACACATACACTCGCATTTTCCTCCCTTTTTTTGTTTTTTTTATTTTTTTTTAGTATAAAATACATTTCATAAAAAAAAATGCACAATTTCTATTCTAAAGATCATTACTTAAACAAATTTTGAATGAATTTCAGTACTATATTTATTTTAATTGCTTATATATCTATACTGATTTTTGACATTATTATTAAAATGGTTATATTTTTTTTCTCTCTCTCAATTTCAATTACTTAAATATTTGTATCTATAAAAAAGAATGTATAAACATAATAATCTCTTAAAATAATTGTCGAACTTTGTCCATTTCACGTGTGACGTCATTTGTTTACATTTGGATACGCATCGAGCAGATATGAATGTGCGGGAGAAAATTATGGAAAATTGTAGTTTAAAAACAGTAAAATCGAACCGAAACGCTCCTCTGTGGCGAAATTGGTAAACGCATGTCAGGCAATATGACGGTTCCATATAGGATACAGGTTCGATTCCTGTTGGAGGACGCATATATTCTATGACAATTTCTCGGACATTCAGGCCGGTAAATGTTGTTATTACTGTTTATTATAAACAGAGCATTTGCTTAAACATTTGTATCTATAAAAAAGAAGGTATAAAAATGTCTTAATATATATATATATATATATATATATATATTTACATTAATCGGAGTGTTATCCTCTTCTTGATTGGCATATTAACAACGTTTCGGCCGTTGTACACTCCGGCCTTCTTCAGGTGATTGGAATTTCGAACCGAACCGTTTATTTCGTCCACCAGTTTAGACTGTTCTAGCATGCCTCTTTCGGATGTCTCAGTTATTTCCCTTTAACTCAACTCTCCAAGTTTTTTTGTTCACTACTGCTGTAGCCTGGTATAGAACTGCCAACTCTTTGGATGTAGTCACTGGATCTAACCAACATCTTTATCCACTGGGCCATGTGCCCCATACCCCAAGAAGGCCAGAGCGTACCATGGCCGAAACGTTGTGTATATGGCAATGAAAATGAAGCTAATAGTCCGAACAATGTAAATAATCATAATACCTCATCTCAGAGATACAGACGGATATATATATATATATATATATATATATATATATATATATATATATATATGATGAACTCTCCTGTCGTTTTCGGTGTATGAGTGTCTTTCAGTTCTTTTTTTATGTTTATGTTTCGTATGAGACACCAATCCTGCGCGGGATTTGCAAACAAATCCACATGAAGGGCATACTGAGGGGTTGACTGTCATATGGATTGATGTATTAGCCTGAGATTTAGTGTTAATTCTTAATTCTCTCAGATGGATGAGACGATTCATTTCAAAGTTAGCTATAACTTGGTAGTGGGTGTTTCTTCAGTTTGCTTGGTTTTCAACCGCAAGTTCGAATTCCTCTATAGGGATGTTTGCAGCAATTAAATTGTATTTAAGTTTGTCCTTGAAGCGTAACCAACGACGGCCTATATTACGCTTACCGTGCAAAAAAATATATATATATTTATTTCTAAAGAGTTAATAGATTTTTTTAATTCGGCATAAGTTCATTACTTAAAACGTTGTTTTTAGTGAATACCCGTATTTTTGTATACACACTATTTACTTCGTCTTCACGTTTGCACAATCAAGAAAAGAAAACTCATTAAAGGAAATATATCGTCCAGCAGGACTCGAACCTGTGTTTCCCCTTTGCAGCGAAGACCACCGTTTGATCTAAGAGCTTTGATCGCTTGTCTACGAAGAGCTTCACGATAAGGCGAGGTTTCTTGTTCTTCTAAATCACATTCACTCATTCTGATTTTCCAGAAAGGCATATCTGCTCATATTTTCCAGAAAGGCATATCTGCTCATATTTTCCAGAATGGCATATCTGCTCAGTTTCGTATTCAAAACGTAAAAAAAAAGAAGAATTAATCAATTTTTTTTTAATCCGACACATTTTTATTGATATTAATAAAAAATGTCGGATTAAAAATCATTAAAAAAAAAGAAGGGTTTTATTAAGTGTTAGTGTTTAAATCAATCTTTTCGTCATTTTTTGTCATGGTACTTAAATTTAGATAACACTACCTGGAATTACTATTTCTGATGTGCTGAATACGAATACATATGTAGCAGTTTGTCTACATTTTATTATAAGATGTAACAACTTTACTCGATACTATATTTGTTTTTATGTGTTTGGTTCTTCAGAAGCAAACGATTATGTCCTTACTCTAGGTGAATGTGTTCATGTTGGTAAACAAACAAGCATTGGACAAGTGCCAACAGACTCTACGGATCTCAGAAGCAGCAGAAAGTCTGCGAATGGCAACAGAAATCTGTCTTTGTAATTAACATTCTACAGGAAGAGCGCCTCGCCCGTTCGCTGTAACTGAGGCAACAGGTGGCCAACACCATTCACGTTGGGTGGGAGATTTCTATGCACGCGCCATCTTTTTTTTCTTCTTCTCTAGTTGTTGAGTAGATAGCGTATAATAGTTCCTCTTGCAAGTGAACGTAGCCTTGAGCAGATTGTCGTTATTGCAAGCAGAAAGGAAATGGAAGAAGAGAAAGAAAGAGAAGAGGAAGAGAAAGGAAAGAGAAGAAGAGGAGAAAGAAAGAGAAGAAGAGAGAAGAAGCGAGGAGGGTAAGGAAAAAGTGAAAGTAGATGAAGTATAACAGAGAGGATTGAATGAAAAAAAAATCACAAAAGAAAAAAAAACGAAATAAAATAAAAAATGATGGAAAGAAGGAAAAAATGTAAGAAAACGCAATTAAAAAAGAAAAAGAACAGGGATAATTAAATGAATGGAAAATAAAGAGAAAGAAGAAAAGAAAAAAAGAAGGAAAAAATAAAAAGAAAGAAAAGAAAATGATAAAACGAAAGAGGAAGAGCAGGTATGATTAGCTAAAAAAGTGAATGAGAAAGAAAAAGAAAATAAAAAGAAGGAAAAAGTAAAAGTATAAAGTGAAAAGAAAGAAAAAAGGAAAGAAAAATGGGAGAGAGATGAAAACAGTAGTAAGAAAGGAAAAATAACAGAAAAAAATAAAGAAAAATTAGAAAGTAAAAGATAGAAAAACGAAAAGATAACAAAAAAACAAAACAGAACAAGAAACCGGGATTGGCCTTGTGCCACACTGGGCTTAGTCGTCACAAAGAATGCAAAAAACCGTATGTATAAAAATCAGAAAGATGGATAAAAATAAAGACTTAAATACTTGATATGAAGACAACAAAAAGAAATGAAGAATGGAAAAAGTTCAAGAAAAAGGGCAGTAAAAAAAAGAAGAATTGGAATAAGGAATGAATTACATAACAGAAAAGAGTAAGCAATGGAATTTGAAAGACAAAAGACAAATATAATGAAAGAAGAGAGGAAAAAAAGAAGGAAAGTGAAAAAGAATTAAAGCTTTTGTACGGAAAATAAAAAAAAAAACCATTGAGAAAATAAAAATGTTTAGAAAAAAATTGAATAAAAAAGGAAAAAAAGAAAGAAAAACTGGAAAAGGAAAGAAGAAAAGAGAAAGAAAGAAAAATCAATAAAGCGGGAAAAATTCAAAATCGGAAAAAAATACAAAGAAATAAAATAACGAAAAAGAAATAAAATAAAAAAAGGATGGAAAGAAGAAAAAAATGGAAGAAAACGAAAAAAAGAAAGAGAAAGAAAAAAGAAAATAAAAAGAAGGCAAAATGGAAATAAAATAAATGAATGAAAAACTGAAAAGAAATAACTAAAAAAATAAAAAATAAAAATTAAAAATTGAGTAAAGAGGGAAAAAACAAAGAAAAACATAGGGAGATCAAAAAAGAGAAAAGAGCATAGAAAGAAAAAAGAGAGAGAAAGAGAGAGAAAATTAGATAGAGCAAGAGAGACAGAGAAAGAGAAACGGCGTAGAAAGAAAAAACATATAATAATCAAACAAAAAAAAGAGAGAAGGAGAAAGAAAGAAAAAGCGGGAGAGATTTAGTTAGATAGAGAGAGAGAGAAAGACAGAGAGAAAGACAGAGAGAAAGACAGAGAGAAAGACAGAGAGAAAGAGAGAAAAACGATGTAGAAAGAAAAAAGCAATAAAATATAATAAATTAAAAAAGAGAGAGGAAGAAAGATAAAAAGAGGGAAAGAGAGAGAGAGGAAAGCGAGGGAGAAATATAAAGAGAAAGATAGAGAGAGAGAGAGAGTGAGAGAAAGAGAGAGAAAGCTAGAAAGATGCTGAGAGAAAAAGAGAGAGAAATATAAAGAGAATGATAGAGAAAGAAAGAGAGAGACAGAGAAACGAAAAGAGAGAGCGAGAAAGAGAAATAGAGAGAAAGGCCGTAGAAAGAAAAAAGAAAGAAAAAAGGAGTAATGGAAAAAAGAAAATCTATGAAAGAGCGAAAGAAAAATGCATGTAAAAAAAAAAAAACAAAACCAACGAATGCAATAAATGCATGAAACATTTTGTAAGACAGAAAAGAAGCAAGAGTGATTAAAAAAGAAAAAAAAAAAAGAAAAGAAAATCGGAGATAAGAGAAACCGTCCGAGTAAAATACAACAAGAAAGAAACAATGAAAATTTACAGAAAAGATAAAATAACATTAAACTTAGGAATTCGTTTATAGCGTTGTGTACATTAACAGTTGATGTTATATAATTGATACCAATTAATGGAAGGCTGGCCAAAAAACAAAAAACAAAACAAAAACAAAACAAACAAAAAAAGAATGGAGCAGAAATTCAGAATGGTATGTTTTAGTCCATCGGCAATAAGACGTAAACGGTTTGCTAATGGACCACAGGAGAGTAAATATAAATACCATTTGTTTCAGAAGAGTGAGCATAATTTGCGATTCTCCTATCTATCTATCTATCTATCTATCTATCTATCTATCTATCTATCTATCTATCTATCTATCCCTTTCTTTCCCCTTTTCTCTCTCACTCTTTCCATTTCTTTCCATTTTCTCTTTTTCTCTTTTTCCTTTTTCTATCCTTGTCAGTCTTCTGTCTCTCCCATCCACCCCTTCACTCTCTATCTTTCTTACTCTTTTACTCTCACTTTCGAAAACAGGAGCATTTCTTGGACTCGAGTCTGCTGGATAGCTGAAGTGGTTGTGTATATCTCACCTGTGTCATTGATCCAAGACCAAGCACTAAGCCAGTATTTCGAATGCCGATTTTTTCCAAACGCTTACACCTTCTTGCTAAACCCAGTGTGGTGAGACCAAGCAAATTAAACTTTATATATATTTACATATTCTAGGCGCTACGCTAAAATATTTTCTTGCAAACCCAGTCAGTGCGACAGAATGTTGGCATATATTATTAGTGGGTTAAACTGTAAATGATTATTTAATGAATGATGTTTCCCAATTGGATAAAGCCCACAAATCTGTTCTTCTCTCTTTCTCTCCTTCTATTCTTTCTTTCACTTTCTCTCTTTTTCTACACACACACACATATGTATGTGTGTGTGTGTGTGTGTGTGTGTATTAATATCATAGGAAACAACCGTTAGATTGATGAGTATTTTTTTTATTTTTAAAAAACAGTGCTCGATACAGAAGTAGAACTTAAAATTATAATTATTTTGTTTAAGAATATGATTCCATCGCGACACAGAAACTACTAAGTTTCGTAACACACACACACACACACACACACACACACACACACACACACACACACACACACACACACACACACACACACACATATATATATATATATACACACACACACACATATATATATATATATATATAAATATATATATATATATATATATATATATATATATATATATATATATATATATATATATAAGGGCATTGAAGTCAAACCGAGCGGCGACAGTCTGTTTCAGAAATATAAGTAGACGTCAGGGCATGTGTGTTCTACTGGGTGTTGACTTCACTGTCCACTTTTATATATACATATACTCACTCTATCCCTGATATCGAGCACTTTAACATAAACAAATATTATATATATAACCAAGGATGCACTGAAAATTCATAATGAAAATGATCAAGATTACGATTTTCGGGAAATAGCTTTTTGGTCGGATCGAGAACTTTTGCCCCCCCTATATATATATATATATATATATATATATATATATATATATATATAAAATTATTTGATTAAACGTTATTTTAAATTGACAATCATACTTGAATAGATGTTCTGCTTTTTATTTATTTATTAAAGAGTATATTTATTTATTTACATTTACCAGTTTGAATATTCGAAAAATCTTGTTAGAAAGATATGCGTCCTTCGACAGGATTCCACTGGGGTAAACCAAATCCTGCCGGTGTATCCATTTAAAAAGAAATGAATTGAAAAAATACGTTGGATTTAGTCCATTTCCTATAATACATACATACATACATATATACACACACACACACACACACACACACACATATATATATATACGTATACAAGGTGTAACATCAAAATTATTATGTGTTTGAAAAGTGTATATAAATATAAATAAATATATATATGTATAATTATTTATATATTATATGCGCGGTACTTATTAGAAAGCGCTCAATATCAGAGATAGAGCTAACATATTTGGTTGGATAGATGTGAGTTTGTGACCCTGGATTTCACGCTTTAGCGATCGTCAGACAAACCCTGACGATCGCTAAAGCGTGAAACCCAGGATCACAAACTCACATTTCTCCAACCAAATATATATATATATATATATATTACATTCCGGGATCATTTCTCAACTTATTCAAGATGATCTTCGCCCTCTCTAACCTTCTAACTTTCTGTCATGGAGTAACAAGTTACCTCACAAGTTTCACGTACGATTTCATTTTCAATGCTTTTTTCACTGTTCTTTGGACTGTCATTGCTTAAACTCCCCCCTCAAACGTCTTATGAATTGAGTTGGATTTCTTCTAATTAATCTCTTTATCTCTAAGTTGAAATGATGACCCCTCTTCTTGTGTTGACCTCCTGATCCAGTTTTCCTTTCTGCTGTTCCCTCTTTTTTAAACTCGTTCATCGTTCTCCTGATGGTTCTTGATTGGAATTTGACGATAGAAGTCGGAGTATGAATGTTGGTACCATTATTGAATGCGTCAATTTTTTCCTCTCAATATTGCTCAGTTGGGAAGAGAGTGGAACACAAAACAATTTTAACCTGTTCTCATTGTAGCTGAATAAATCAAAGGATTTTTCAGTGATTCGTACGAAAAATAGTATCAAGATGGCTAAACGTCTAATCTGAAAACTCGGGAAAAGAAACTCTATTCGTTTAGTGTTTTTTTTATATATCAAACATATTGTGGGATGGATAATTATGATATTATATGTTTTAGACAATTTTGCTGTTACACCTGATATACACACACACACACACACACACACATATATATATATATATATATATATATATATATATATATATATATATAATAGGAATTTCTGATTAAATAAATTACAGAATTTGCAACCTAAATACACAAATCTCTCTCTCTCTCTATCTATCTATCTATCTATCTATCTATCTATCTATATATATATATATATATATATATATATATACTTACTGGAATCACTGAACTTACCAAAAGCAAGACAAAGCTAATAAAACAACCAGAGCGAACTACTTCTCAAAGAAATAAAAAAAATAAAAAAACTTGAAAGAAAGGAACCTTAACTTGAAAGAACACAAAGTCCTCAATAACCCAGAAAAGAAAATCCGATTTCAAAGATAAAAAAGAAGATCTTAGGCTAGAGTATAACTACTTTATTTAAAGACACTACCCCGCCGGCTGATCCGTGACTGACTCTCTCTCTCTCTCTCTCTCTCTCTCTATATATATATATATATATATATATATATATATATATATAAATATATATATGTATATACACACACTTATATATATATACATACATATATATATATATGATACACAGTGTATATACATATAATATATATAGTGTGTATATGTATATATATATATATATACATACATGATACACACTGTATATATATATGTGTGTGTGTATGTGCGCGCGCACACACACACACACACACACACACACACACACACATATATATATATATTTGCTATTGAGTTATTAGATGTACCTCTAGGTATTGTTTGATGAATTAGTTTACTGAGCGCTGATATACTGAGGGAATCTAGTGCATATTTCTGATTCTGTTTCCTGTGATTTTGTATGTAGCTTCGTTGACATTCATCTCCAAACTAAAGTAACTCATTTTAGAAGGTAGCTTTTGCTTAGTAGAACCACTGAATCAATGACGATGTCTGCTGCACTTTTAAATATCTGGCTAAAAAAAAATCACACTAATCTATGAATAATGCTTTTCTTTTAAGACAGAATAGAATTCATATGGGAATGATATTCGAGTAATTCATAACCTCAGTGGGTTCAAAGAAAGACCAAAAGTTTAAATGTCTAGGAAGTGCTTTAACAAGGGGGGTGGGGAGTATGACCCCGAAATTCGAAGGCACATTTGAATAGTAAAAATGCTATGTAAAAGCTAAGCAATGTATTAAGAAACTGGAACATTAGTAACAAAGAAAATAGCGCTGAATTGTTATATAATATGACATATAACAACTGGAAATTGAAAGAACGGAGGACGGTAAGTGAGACATTGAAATCGGAAGACATTGAAATTCGTATAGCCAAAGTTGTATTCCAAAAGCTAAGTATTAAGAAAAAAAAAAGAATTCGTTAGAAACAAAAAAAGGTGTACTGAACTGTTACGTGACATCTGTCTTCCTATGTGACAATCTCTTAACAGATGAAGAGACATGAAGCTACAGAAATGTGGATGGTGAGAATACTATGGACCAAACATGTGAGAAACGACAAACTTTAGAGAAAATGTAAAGAAAAAGGACACTTATACTTAACATCAGGAAGAGATA